TTATGACCTCTAGATCCCTTTCTGCAGTTCTCCTTCCTAGACAGCCGCTTCCCATTCTGTATGTGTGAAACTGATCCTTCCTAAGTGGAGTATTTTAAACTTCCTCCTCGCTGGCTACAGTGGTAGACAAATGATGCAAAAATTAAGAGTTCTGGCTCATCACCCCTCAACCCTCTGGAACATACTTTCTACATTTAGCATGCTTTTGTCATTCTGATGTTCCTCTCTCAAGCCACACCTCTGAGCAGAGTTCCTCTGGGCCATATCCATTGGCTTCTTGGATGCCTTTTAGGCACAGTGGGCACTGTCTGGTGTTCTCTGCTCCGTGTCTCCCTCTGGATCCCTGATTGTTTTACCTGTGACCCCACTTCCATCCCTCTTTTTTCATTTGTTCAGTTATATGATACCTGTGTCTGGAGGCCCCTCCTCTTATAATGAAAGGGGCCTCCCACCTAGCTGCAGTGTTTCAGAAGGTGCATTCGGATGGAGTGTTTACTATATACAAAGTCTGACTAGGTGAAAAATAGCCAATTAATCCAGTGACAGGCTGCACCTGGAGGAGAGTCAGGGCTGCTAAGGCCTAATGGCTGATGAATGCAGCTGGAGAAGGAGCTGAGCTAGGCATAATGACAGAAAGTTGGTGGGAAGAGGAGGATGTGGGAGGAAATTCTGCAATCACTCTCTAGAGAGGAGGGGGTGTTGGTTGCAGAGATCATGGAGTCCTAGGAGACAAAACTGTAGGATTCTGCCTGGTAAGAACATGAGAGAGTGTGAAGTAGCCACAGGTAGTGGAGGAGGCCCCAGTGATATCCTGGAGATGGGATAGGACAGGTGTCCTTTTTTTTTGGTCTATAAATTACAGTCAAAGGGGGGAGTTGACAGAGTCTGGTTAGATCTATTGACTAGACACCCAAAGTCAGTTACTGTAGGAGGGGGAGGTGCCAGGTCATTGCCTGTAACAGTCACTCACTACTCAGATGGGGCTGCTCAGTGCCTACACCCCTCACTCCTTCCAGTGCAGACCTGTACCCCAACCCTCAGTCTTGAGCTCCTTCATGCAACCAAACTCCTCCCCAGAGCTTGCACCCTCTGCTCTCTCCTGCACCTCAACTCTCTGCCTCTGTCTTTAGCAGCCTCCTGCACTCTGAACCCCTATGCCTCATCCTAGAGTCTGTACCCCCAGACTGCAGCCCCTTCTCACATTTTGAAGCCCTTGGCGCCACCCTAGAGTCCTGTCCTGTCCCCAAAATCTCTCATCGCCAGCTTGCACACCCAGCCCTCGCCCTCGCCCTCTCTTGAATCTTGCCTGGTGAAAATGGGGGAGGGACGGTAGGGAGACAGAATGAGCAGCAGTGGGGACTTGGAGAAGGGATGGAGCAAGGTTCAGTTTTCTGCAAACAGAAAGTTGGCCATCCTAGAGTATATATACAATGGAGGTTCCTTGATCCACATCATAGCAAAAGATCTCTCCATTAAGCCAGAAGAAACTATAAAACAAGAGGAGTGATATCATGACTTGGCCTCACTCCCACACAACTGAGAACCTGGAAACGCATTTGGAGGACAAAGGTTTTGAACTGGGGAAGTGTTGCCAGGTAGGAGGAGAGTTCCATCCTGTGTATTGACAATATTCCATTATCAGGGGTGACACGTGGAGGGTGCACGAGAGGTCACAGGAACCCCAAATGCCGTGGACAGGAAGGGTAGGTTGGAGGAAGGGGCGGGGCGAAGCAAGGGCAGGGAGGGGTTTGGAAAAGGCGGAGCCTGGGGCAGGAGGGGTTGTCCCAGCCCTTCCCTGGTTGGGGTGGGGTCACATCGCCAGTGTCCCCCACTCATCTTCCCTCTCCAGTCATCTTTCTTCATTATCATGATAAGACACTGCTTGATCCAAATCCTGTTTGGTCTATAAAACTAAGACTTCAAATTTATTTCTTAAGTAGCCAACTTTGATTTTGAGGCTCACTGCTTATAATCACTTAAAATCTATCTATAATTAATACATTTGTTTGTTTTACTTAAAACAGTCTGTTGGGTTGAAATGCTTGGGAAATCTCAGCTTGCAAACGATCTCCACACCAATAGAGGCACAGACTGGATAATGGACTTACGTTAGCCAGGGCAAGATGATTACAGTTCTGGGTTGCAAGGCTGGGTAGCTGGGGGAACTGGCTGAAGCCTTTCTATTGTTGGTTCATGACTGGCTGAGTAAAGCATTCATGTAACTCAGTCAGGTGTGTCCATGGCTGTGTATGTTTGGGCAAGTGCAGAACCTGCCAGAGGTTTGTGGCTTATCACAGCATCACAATGTGAGAGAAATCCCCCAGGTTGTTGGGACAGAGGACTATGCAGTTCCACAATTCAGATTGCACACTGAAAAAACCAATCACCTTGGGGACAGAGACAAGACCTGGGAGTGGAGGAGGAAAGAGGGAAGCAGGTCAGGGGAGATTTTTTTTTTCTGCATATCACTGTGCAAGCAAAATATTTCCCTGAAAAAAGGAAAATTAATTAGAACATCTTAAGAATATGGGTCAGCTAGTAATAAAATTGGTGTCATCAAGCCAATGACAGGATAAATTAAAGGAGAGACAGAGAAGTTGTAGTTGAAGTAAATCCTTTTTTGAGGGGAAAATGGCCTCTGAGAAAAATCACTTCAAGATGTAGGGAAGATTTGGCTTTGCATGTTATCCTGGACATAATGTCATAATTTCCATTTAGTTCATATAGCTTTGAAGTCCTAGCTGTGCAGTCAATGAACATATCTTTTGACAATTTGTGCTCTGAAAGCCATCATCTAATCTTGATGTAATTAGCCTTTTCTGCTAAGTTCTTGGAAAAATAGGAATCTAGTTTGACACCTGTATCATATGTCTCAATTTTTCCTCATTTTCTAGAGCATCTCATAGATTACAATTAAAATATTAATTTGTTCCATTTAATGCTGTCAGCCTGCTTTTGCTTTTGGTAATTTTTAAAAAATCAGGAGGATTATGAACCTCAAACACAGGAATCTCTAATTTATTTCTATCTCATCTGGTGTTTCTCATTTACCTCATGTCCTTTATTGAGTTTAATGTTCAGCACTGGAAATCTACATGTTGTTAAGATGGTATTAATGTGTGCTCATCTACGACTATCCTTGTTTTCACATTGCTTTCCCTGTGAATTATTCCTTCCAGGGATAGTAATAGTTCAAGTTTAGGGGTCACTCATAGGGACTCTGTATCTAGCTCTACCCTTTCTCATGCTGAGAGGCTGGTCAAAGTTCTGGGCCATGGGGATATTTCAGTTGGAAATAGAAATTGATAGGCATGTCTTTGCACTTTTGTTTAGCTATGAAAAATGTACACAGTCCAGTTGCTAAGTGAAGGACCCAAATTGCTGGAAACAACTTCTTTGGTTCAAGAACAGGAACACTTTTTCTCAGTCTGAGTCCTTGACCCAAGAAAACGTCTCTTGAGTTTTCTTCCAATGTCTGCCACTGTGTTTTCATCTACCCCTTCTGGGTGTCTCTGTCTCCCAGTCCTCTCCTGTTCTGCCTTCCTGCTCAGTGACCTCTCTCCCCTACCCCACAATACTAAGCAGAAGTTCCTGGTACATGTGCTCCTTGTGTCCTAAGTGAGGATATAAAATGTATCTGTATACTTGTGTTAATTGAAGGGTGTGTTCATCACTAGTCAGAGGTGTGTGTTTCATGCAGTCCCTAATCACGCTCAGGATATACCAGTATGATGAGAGGGATTGTACAAGGTCCGTAGAAGTTGCCAAGAGCTTCCTTTCCCTGGGAGTTCCACAGAAGGGGACTGTGGCTCTTGCAGGCAGCCAAAAAAAACCTTTTAATTTTACCCTTTACAAAAGCCATGACCAGCAGTAAAGGTTGTGTGCTGTGTATGCAAAGGGGGTGCCGCTCACAATGGCAGCGTGGTACTGTTGCACTTACTTTGTGCAGGTATAACTGGCGACACTGGCTGGGCACTGGGAATTTGATGCTGGGAAGCCCAAAGGATTCAAACCAGCTCCCAGCTATAGGCCAGGCCCAGCAAGCTCAGGTGCATGCTGGCCTGAGTGGTGATATTGTCACAGGCAAGGGATGATGAGCAGGATTGCGATACTCTTGGTCTATGTCTACACTGGCGGGTTCTCACGCAAGAACAGCCGTTCTTGCTCAAGAACACCCAGAGCGTCCACACTGCCCGCCTGCTCTTGCGCAAGAAGATTTACAGTACAGCGTCAGAAGACAGGGCTTCTTGTGCAAGAGCTACACTCTTTTCCAACAAGTGTAAGCCCTCTTGCGCAAAAACTTGCGCAAGAGGGCAATGTGGACGCATGGCAGGGGTTTCTTGCGCAAGAAAGCCCTATGGCTAAAATGGCCATCAGAGCTTTCTTGCACAAGAGAGCGTCCACACTGCCATGGATGCTCTTGCGCAAAAGCACATGGCAGTATGGACGTGTTCTTGCACAAGATGTTCTTGTGCAAGAACCCAGCAGGGTAGACATAGCCCCAGTGACCTGAGGAGTAGCTCCTCTAACCCTAACTTCTCAGGGGATGGACTCTAGCCACTAGCTGGGACGTAGGTGGCACATGTTAGTTACCTGTGGCCAGGGGAGCTTGTTGTAGCCTCCCACTAAAGTGAGGCAGCAAGGGGCCTGGAGTCCCCCAGCGGGCACTACTCTCCCTCTAGGGGGCACTGCTCGCTCGCCCGCTCCCACCACTCTGCTTTGCCCTTCCTCCCCATCCTTCTCATGCTATCTCCTCAATCCGCCGTAGCCTCGAGTTAGCTCCACCCCTCTCTAATCCAGAAGCCGAGTCCGAAACGCATTCTGATTGGCAGATCTTCTTGTCAATCCCTCGCTCGCCCCGCCCCACGTCCCTGCTCGGTGCGGCTCCGGCTGTCAATCACGGATCAACATGGTCCCATGCCCTGCTCCCGCCTCTTGAGCGCGAAGCGGATTGGCGCACAGGAATGTCCATCGACGATTAGCTCCACCCGCCCGCTCAGGTAGCCTGGAAGATGGCGGCGACTGCGGCGGCCGGTGGGGGCGGCCG